CCCCCCCCCCCCCCCCCCCAAAAAAAAAAAAAAAGTCATTTTGTCTGCCGGATTTTGGTCTCACTTTTTCCTCAAAAAGCAAAAATAATTTAAATATGAAGGGTAATTTTTTAAAGTCCGCCTGATATGTGGCCAAATAACATAGGAATTCCTAATATTTTACTAATAGCATGACAATCCCCTAATTTTTATAAATCATGACACAAACCCTTCTACTTAATAGTAATTATTAACAACTGCTCATCTCTTTTCTCTGTCAATTGACAACGGGATGTGGATATGATGACTAGAGAGTTGGTTTCTACAGGGGGTGGATGGGTTGGTTTGGGTTGTGAGTTGGGTGGTGTTTGGGAATAGTATGGTAGGGGGAGGGGGTGGGTTTGAGGAGGTAGTTATGGGGAGGAATTTGGAGCGGAAAGGAGGGAGAGTCGATTTTTGTTTATATTGGTCATGAGTGCGAGTTTGGGTACAAGTTTTGTTTGCAGTAAATATGGATATGGATAAAGGCATGATTATGTGAGTTCAAACATTTTTATTTCATTTTATTTGATTGATTGTGGAGGATAATAAAGGTTTTTTATTTAATTACCAACACTGACCACTTTTTAAAATCTATTGGGGTTGTCGTGTCATTGTTGAGATATCAAGGGGTGGAGGTGTCATTTGACCTAATTACAGGGGTCCATGTGAAATTTTCCCAAATAAGAAACATAAATAATTAAAATAAACATAGACAGCTGGATAAACTATAGACCATTCTACCTCCACGGCGGCAGGTCCCTTTTTCTCTCTCTCCTGTTCAGATCTCCATTCCACACTTCCCCCTCCCCATGGAGCAATCCCCAACCGCTCCGCCACCACTCTCCGCGACTGCCGCAACCACGGTGGCGACAGTGCCACCACCACCGCCAGCCAATCTAGCCTACCCAGATTCAGTAGACTCCTCTCCACGATCTCGAAACACCGATTCATGGGATGAGCCACCCTACCCTGCTACTGGTGCATTGACTGGTGGTCCTCCCTCTTTGAAGCTCCGCCTCATGTGCAGCTATGGCGGCCACATAGTGCCCCGCCCACACGACAAGTCCCTATGCTACGTCGGCGGCGACACCCGAATTATCGTCGTGGACCGCCACACCTCTCTCTCTGACCTCACCCACCGCCTCTCCAAAACCCTACTCGACGGCGGATTATTTACCCTCAAATACCAGCTTCCCAACGAAGACCTCGACTCTCTTATCTCCATCACCACTGATGAAGACCTCGAGAACATGATCGATGAATATGATCGCCTCAACACCACGACCAACACCCAGAAATCCTCTCGTCTTCGCCTTTTTCTTTTTCCGATAAATCCCGAATCGGCGTCTTCAATTGGGTCACTTCTTGAAAATTCTACGAAGTCCGATGACTGGTTTTTGAATGCCCTAAATGGGAATACAAGAGGGCTTTCAGAATCTTCGTCGGTGAATTGTTTACTGGGTCTGGATGAAGAAATTGGGGCCGGAAATAGTGCTGATTTATCTCAGAAAGATGTGGAGATACAAGCGGAAAATTTTGTACCTGTGAAGGGTGTGAATGGTGGAAGTGGTAAGAATGCTGCTCAGGATGTTCAGTCGGTGACCGATTCGCCGATGCTGGAAACGATGTCATCTTTTGGGTCTACTTCTTCGCCGCCGGCGCTTGCGAATTTACCGCCGATCAGGGTTCATGTGGAGGATAGGAAAGTGGGAATTGAGGAACAGTTTTCGAACATTAGTGTTGAGAAGAAGCAAGATGATGGGGGTTTTATGGTTCTGGCTTCGCCGCCCACTGTTTTCACTAGTGCTGCTGCGGCGGTGACGGCTCTTTCTGGTGTGCCGGCGGGTTCTGGGGCGGCGATCGGGGAGTACCCGAATCGGGTTTTCTCTGATGATGAAAGATCAGAGCGAGGGATGCCGGTTGGGTATCAGAAGCCACCACAATCACAATCACTTGCAGAGCCGCAGCCTCAGTCACAGCCACAAACACAATTGCAGCAGAAACCGGCTGGCAGTGTTCTTGATTTGCCTTCCCCAGATTCGGTTTCAAGGTACACAAATCCTCAATCTTTTACTTCTTTCAATTCTTATTTTACTTGCACCTACATTAATGTATTGCAATTACTCTGAATGATATTGTATTATATGCATCTGTGTATATGTATTGAAATTGTTCTGAATTAGGTTGTTTGTTCTTTGATTGGTACAGTGATGGTAGTTTAACAAACCCATTGTCTCGCCAAAAACCTAGTCTTTATCAAGACCCTGTTGTCCAAATTCCATCTGGAAACACTAGGATTTCTGGTCACTCTGTTGATCCAAACACCCAGGTTCAGTATCAACAAGCACCAGATTCTGGATATGTTTTGCCAGTCCAGTTTGATCAACAACATCCACAGTTACACCAACAACAATTCATTCATGCTGGTTCACAGTATATTCATCATCAACCTGCTGGGGCAGTGCCTATTACATACTATCCCGTATATCCTTCCCAGCAGCAACACCATCCTCAGTTTTCTGCACATGATACGCAATATCAGATGTTCTATGTGCCTGCCAGGCAGGCCCAAGCTTATAACTTCCCTGTGCAGCAACCAAGTTATGGTGAAACTGTCAATGTAGCCCCTTCTGGCCGTCCTCAAACCCTTCCCCCTGCTGCCATGGCTCCTAGTCATATTCCTGCATCTTTCAATACAGCTAGCAATGTTCCGGCTTCTAAATCTGAAATGGAGGCGGGTATGTACAGAACAGTAAATGCAGGAGCTCCATCATTTATTCAGGTTTCTTCTAATCAGAATCAGCCTCAATATGTTGGCTTCTCTCAGATTCATCATCCATCACAGTCTGTTGCCCCTACTTCAGCTGCTACAGCTAATTATACTTATGAATATGCTGATCCTACACATGCTCAAATATACTACAATCAGCCTCTGCCACACCAATACCAAACTATGACATCATCCCCTGCAATGGTGCTACCTGAAGCTTCTGGTCAGCTTCCTACAGAGAATGTCAACCAACAAATCAGAATGTAACCGTAATAAGAGGTGAGTTGGGTAAGAAGAAACAATTTTGCAACGATGGTATTGATTTATCTTTGTAGTTTCTATTACAGTGTCTGTCTTGTTATCGTTATTGGTTTGTGTTAGGTATTTGTGATGGTTAATAAAAAATGGGGCCTTCTTTTTCTTCTTTATTCTCTATGGTTTATTGTTGTTAGGGTCTGTGAAAATGAAAGTGGTCTGGGGTCATACTGTAAAAGCTCAAACTCATACTTTTACCTGTTCAAGTCTATATATCAATCATTTAATACCTGAATATCATGTTTCAAGAGCTTTTATTACATATCTGTCATTAGTTAGCCCATGTTTTATTGAAAAAATTGGGAAATAAATAGCTGCATTTTGCCCTGAAGGTATTGCGAAGGAACCAAAAACTGAATCAGCCCTGAATTCTGCTCATTGCTATTGTAATTTAGCAGACATTTTCTCATGATGTACTCTAGAGACGGTCTATGAAGTACGGATATTTCGTTGAAGTCGACGTATCCGTATCGGATATGATATTTGTCAGATACTCGAGGATATGTATTGGATACATCTCTTGCGTGTCCGATAATATTTAAATATTAGGGTACTTTACGGATTTTTTTGTATTCAAGCAACATATATAATTTTTGAGTTGAATTTTTAATAGTTTCTTTCAAATTTACATATCATACAATACATTAACAAAAATTCATACAACTTCAAAGACATATGAGTATTTTTTAAATAATATATACAATTATATATCAAAAAAGCATAAAATAAATCTACTACGTTATAATCTGAGCAAAAATTATTTCTAAATAAACTTGATTCGATAAACATTAGTTTTGATTCTTTTAATTAATCACTTCACTTTGCGAATATATCATAGTGATACAATATATATTTTCTTGAAACTAAACAAAATTACTAATTTTCTTTATTGTATTAAAGAATTATTAAAATATATAAGTATTAAATTGGTTCAAAATAATAAAAATATTAAATATATTTTATTATAACCGTATCTTGACCATACTCGTATTCTACTTTTTTAGATTTTGTCGTATCGTAGTATTCGTATTGTATTGTATCCGTATCTCGTATTCGTATCCGTACTTCATTGGAGACGATTAACACATTCTTCAAGTGCTATTATTTCATTCTTGTTTTGCAGCCATGCAAAAGTCCATTCCATATGTGCCATACCAGTAAGAGCAGTTTTACACTTGCACGCTATGATCTTTTGCTTTGTAATTTTGTTGGGTTGTTTCACAAAACATGTTGGAAGCACTTCTATCATAGCCTATTATGGTCTAGGCAAATGCCTAATTTAGTTCCTGGCACAATCACACACACTCCTGATTGATCCAAGATCAGAAAACAAACATCAGTATTTGTTGTTCATGCTTTTGTCAAAGAATTGTCCATTCTTTAGAGATCCTAGAGGTGCTTTGGCTCCCTTTTGGCCCTTAATCTGATATCATTATCGAGAAGCAAATTAGTTTTCCCTTGCTTTATTCCATGATCATGCATGATCATTCCATCCAGATGAATCATTCTTGTTCTTAGTGTTGCATCAAACAACTTGTTTTCAGCAGATGAGGGTGACCTCTGTTGCAGTGTTGGGACTTGGGACATATTACCCTCTGTTGGACACCAATTGTTAACGACCACATCATATTAGTTGCAAATTCAATAATTGTGATTTTGTCCTATCCAATGCATGATCATACACAAAAGTAATGAGCACATCATTATTGGGAGATCAAACACATTTAAACATTGAAGTTTTCATGATAAAGGAATCTATTGTGAATGGATATAGCTGCCGACCAACTAGACATGGTCAATTGGAGGCCGTAACCTTGTAAATGAAGGAATCCTCCTCGAGAGGGCATAAGATGATTGGCCTAGTGGTAGGTGCCCTTTCACCTTGTCCATAAGTGCAACGTTCGAGGTTCACCGGTCTCTCTCTTATATATAAAATGTTTACATCCCGTAATAGTAACAAGCTATTAATATCGTCCCATCTTTGATTGAGAATTGAAACTAGTAGTGTTGTCGAGATGGGAGGTATATGGGTACGTGTGATTTTTTATATGGATACTTCATCAGTATAATATCTGTTTTCCTTTTTTCACTCCCATTCCCACCGCCAACATTGCTTCCTTTGTCAATGTTCAAATAGAGGTGGAGAGGAAGAGAGAATTAAAAAGCAAGAAAAAAGAGAGACATTCAAATGTTCAGTAACGTGATTGGGTCATACTTTGACCTTTTCTAGAGCATGTCCCATCACCCTATATGAAAAAGGCAATGCATGTTATATACAATCTCTTACCCATTCAAACCTGATACTTGAACGAGAAAATCTCTCATTTCAAATTGTTCCATTAGTTTAGTTGATACCAGTGTTTTAAAACCCGGTCCGGTCCGGTGGGTTGATCCGATGACCCGGTCTCCTAACCGGGCCGGTTTTGTAATTGGACCGTTTGAGCAAAGAACCCGGAATAAAACCGGTGCACCGGTAAAAAAACCGATAAATATGTTTTTTTTTACATTTTTGTATCTTTTTTTTTCCCTTCTGTTTTGCCCTAAATCCTAAATCATTCGTTCAGTGTTTGTTAACTCAAAAATTAAGTGAATGCAATTAAGTGATTCAAGTTTGAGGGTGGAGGCTGGGCTGTTAATTGAATGCATTGATTTGTTAATTGAATGCAATTAAATGATTCAGGTTTGATAACTTTGTTTGATTTAATATATATTAAACATGTTATTTTTATAACTATTTTAATTTTTTAGTCTATTTATCATTATTAATAATTATTTTTTATTTTTTTATTATATCACCGGTTCGACCAGTGACCTAGTGGTTGAACCAGAAATCCATTGACCTGTCCTTTCTCCGGGTTGGTGTCCGGGCCGGATTTTAAAACTATGGTTGATACGATGGGAAGTAGGAATGTCAATTGTGTTGTGTTCGCGTGACTTATATATTGTGTTGAGTTATTATTATTCGTGTTGAGCTATTATTATTCGTGTCATGTTCGTGTCAAAATCTGCTAAAAAAAAGTCTATTTAGTGTGTTTATAATACTAAACATTACTCTATATTACTTATTATGCGTATTTAATAATTGTTTGTGTCGAATTCGTATCAAGTTTGTGTGAATAGGTTAGAATTGGTATTCTTCCTTTTAAGCGGTACTTCACGGATTTGAGTTTTTTCGATTTTAGTATATGCTATAATCTCTCAAAATTGATAAGATTTTTAGTCATTTTACATTTGGAGAATCAAATCACTCTTTTTGTATTCTAAGGGTTAGTTATTTTGCACTCCAAGAGTTAGTTATTTTATATTTTCATGACGTGTTAAACTATACAATTTTTTTAACTTCAAATATTAATAGTAGTTAATTAAAATAAAGAGTATGGTTGGAATAATTTTGTAAAAATAACTTTTTAAAATAAAAAATATAATATTTTAATATATTTTAACTAGCTATTTGAAGAGCACAAATTGATTTTAGTCTGTATTAGCAGGGAAAATAAAAAAACATAAATTAGTCTAGGGGATACTATACAGTTAGCGTGTATATTCCGACCTTCTCATGGCCGTCAACAGAAAAAAAGGAAAAAGAAAAAAAAGACTATCAGCATAATTGACACAACATTATTGTAATTAATCTATGGGCAAGCACCATATATTTAATGGTAAATGCAAGTGAGTTAGCAAAAAGACTAATTTATCTATTTTTCTACTCTTTCTATTTATTCTTTCAAATTTTTATTTATTTATTTTTCAATTATTCTAAACAAAACATAAGAAAATAACAAATTGTAAAATAAATTCGACTAATTTAATGTGTCGGTTATTAGACGTGATGATTATTGATAATTATTGAAATGGTGATATTTATTTTACTCACTTACTTTTTGTTATTAAATAATAATATTAAGTGACGATATTGATATAATTTATTGACTAAATTTACTATCATTATTGGATTGACTGTAATTTTCATTGAACTTAATGTTTATATAAATGAGCTGTAAACCCAGATATTCTTAGTTCGAATCTTGATAATTTTTTGGGATTAGACCATCCACATTAAGACTATGTTATTTATAAGGAGATTAGTCGAGGTATGCGTAAACTAACTCAAATATTCTTTTACCATTGAACCAAAAAAATGTTAATTTAATAATTATAATAAAAATCACATTATTAAGGGCTCGTTTGGTAACGTTTACGGTTTTTAATTTTCTAAAAAATAAAAAATAGAATCAAAAAATAAAAAATGTTTTTTTCTCTTTTTTTAAAATCGCCCCTTGTTTACAAAACGAGGACAGAAAAAAAAAATGGTTAGTAAATGAGTTTTTTTATGTTTTCTCTAAATATCAAAATAAAAACGAAAAACATAAATATTATAAAACTGGACCTGAGTGAGTAAATTAAGTGAAAAAGATTACATCTAAATAACATTATTTTTTAAATATTTACTCAGCAGTGCTGAAGGACTCGAGGACAAAGGGCAAAACAGAATTAATCAAAAAAAAAACTTCTCGGAGAATCCTGAAAAGCCACCAACCCCAACGTAGAATTTTCCAGTGGGACATGACGTGTCGGTCAATCCAAACCTTTTCTTTTCGCCACCGCTTCAACCACGACACAAATCTCCAAATCAGATTTCAATTCAACTTGATTCACCAGAAAAATGATGATTTCTCAATCCGATTTCCGTTCAGCTCTTCAAATCGCATCCACTCTACGCCACCGCCACCAATCCTACCTCTTAATCTCACGCGCCGCCGCCGCCTCCGCCTCCTACATCCCTTCGCCGTGGTCCCTGCGGTTGCCAGCTACTGTGAGATTGAGGGCGAGAGCTTTCTCTACAGACGAAAGTGCAATCGAAAGCACCGTGGAAAAGCTTCCGAGTAAACCGTCGATATGTACCGCCGACGAGCTCCACTACGTCTCCGTCAACAATTCCAACTGGAGGCTCGCCCTATGGCGGTACACTCCTTCCCCGCAGGTCCACATTCTTACCTATACATACCATATTTATGTGCATTCATAAATAAATGTATATGTCTGTCGGAGTAATATTTATGTGTACCTTTTGTTTTATTTAGGAGAAAATTCGTTATATGTTGTGCTTATTTTTGTATTGGACTGTTTGACATATATAATGTAGGATCCGCCGAGGAATCACCCGCTCTTGCTGTTGTCAGGGGTTGGCACTAATGCCATTGGATATGATCTCTCTCCCGAGGTTAGTTCGGTTTACTTTTCTCTCTCTTGGAAACGTACAGGTAGTTTCAAGAACAATTTTTGAGCATATATATGTGTGTGTGTGTGTGTGTTTGTATATAGGGAAGATATAGCATTTCTTTGTTGGTCTTTCAACATAATTGGATAACTGCATTTAGCTAGTTTTATTTTATTTTTGTTGTATTTCTTTTGTTTTTTGGTGGATTTCTTATCTTGTTTTCTTATCAAAAAACAAAGTAAAATGAATAAGATCTTAAAATTAAAGGAGGCTGAACACCAACAAAGGGGATTGAAGGCTGTTCCAACCCACTTGAATGTGGTCACTTTTTCCTCTAATTGCATTAGCCAATAAATGTCATGACCAAAACTGGGAAACAAATTTCATAGACATATAGGACATGCGTTCACTCATGGTAGAGTACATGTGATATGTAATATGTTTTCCATATTTAGCAAAATCTAGTGAGCATGTGAATGTTTGAGATTGTGGGGGGTGTGTGTGTGTGTGCACACACTGTAACTCACATCATATGCATGTGTTGATTTTTAAAAAGACAAGCATATAGATGAAAATGTAATAATTATGACACAACCTGCATGAGTTTGACCCATTTAGGCAACAAGAGACTGTAAATTCTGGTCGACTTCTTTGGCACAACGTGCAATTCTCATATTATCTTATTATGTCAATACTCATTATGGGATAAAATGCGAGTTCGTGCACTATTGCCCAAGGCTCATTTTAGATGCACTTTCTAAAGGGTACTTATTTTATCAGCCAAAGGAAGGGGGAAGAGGGGTGGGGTGGAGGAGGGAATGCTATCTTTTTTCTCGAGGAAAGGGAAAACTTATTGCTTATAGCTCGATGCTGTTGCATTCTGGTTGCAATTTCTGAAATGTAAGCAGGAAGGAATGTGATCATGGCCTTTGTTTTTTTCACTATGTATGTTTGCAGTCTTCATTTGCACGTTACATGTGTGGGCAAGGATTTGACACATGGATTCTTGAAGTTCGAGGCGCCGGGTTGAGCATGCAGGGATCAGATCCTAAAAAACTTGAACCGTCAGCCCATGCAATATCTGAACAGATGGAAGCTGCAGTTGAGAATGCAACGAATAGGGTTTTCTCTGCAGCACAACAGTCAACTAATGTCAACAATGCCTCTGCAGAATCTGGGATGACTCTGGCCAAAGAAGATCCAACTGGAATTGCAACAGTGTGGGATGAATCAAAACTTGTGACGAAGTTGACAGAAACTTTTATGCTTCTGTCAGAAAGACTCTCTGGCTTTCTCAGTGAAGGTCAATCCAACATTATGTCCGCTAAATTGTTTGATCAGATATCAAGACTCTTAGAGGATTCTTTTCTATATGAACGCTTTGATGAGATTAGGGGAAAGCTTTCAAATTTGTTGGAAACACGGCAGAGCTCTGCTGTTGCTAGCCAGATAAGGGATTTGAGTCAGAAGCTTGTGAATATCTTTGGAGAAGGTCAACTCACTGTTTCACCTCAGTTGTTTGATTTACAAGAGCGTTTAATCACAACTATAGATGATTTTCAGAAACAACTAGACTTGATTGTCAAGTACGATTGGGACTTTGATCATTACTTGGAAGAGGACATTCCTGCTGTGGTGAGGTGACATTTCTCCTTACTGGAGGACTATAACCATTTTCCTTTTATTTTTGACCTTCTTGTTAATTGTTTGGCTCTGTTCTTAGCATCCTTTATGAGCATAAAATAGTTGTGCTTACCTTTTACATAGTAATTGATAGTTCTCAGGTTATTTATCACAGATGGAATATATAAGGGCCCAATGCAAACCAGCAGATGGAAAATTGCTTGCGATTGGACACTCCATGGGTGGTATCTTGCTATATGCAATGCTGTCACGATCTGGTATGATGTCCTCAGTTACTTTATCAGATAATGCCATTAGTTGCAGTGTCTCGTGATATTGTATAATTACCCTTATTGAAAACTTAGCTTGCTTGGTTCAAAGCAGCCCATTACTTTGTATACTGTGTTTGTACCCTACCTCTAAGTGTTTTTTATGGTTTTTTGTGTTTTTAAGGTTTCTCACATAGTTTCGATTCTTCTGGCCACCAATCCACATGTCCCGATATCCCATCTGTTGATTTGGACCACTAGCCCTTGGTGCCTTAGGAGTCCTTCCAGATACCAGTCAAGCACAACTCAGTGAGCTATATACTGGGAGGCTTGCTTGAGTAGAGTAAGCTTAGTGAGCTCGAGACTCACTGGGAGGCTTGTTCGAGACCCTGCCTGAGACAGAGGTTGACAATCATGCTCGTCCCCCCTATTGCTCATTGCTCCTTTTGTGTGTGTGGGGGGGGGG